TAGTGCTGCAACTGACCTCATGCACCCTGGAGACTTGGGGTGGCTTCCCAGTGTCACAGAGGAACAGGCAGGCACAGAGTTGCCAGGAAGGGTCTGGGGCAGTCTCACACTGCCAACCAAGTGTTCATCCCTCTGCCACTTCCCAGTCAGGAATCAGGACTCATCCTTGACACCACCTTCTCCCTCCACACAGAACTCACACCCATATCCTGGCAGTGTCACCTCTGGAATGCTGTGCAGACCTGTGTGAGTCTCCCGAAGTCCATTGCCAGGCTTCTGTCCAAGCCTCTAGTCCATCCTCTCTTGCTGGGACCCCACCATCCTCCCTTGCCTGAAGGGACAGCTCCATTTTCATTGTGGGGCCCCTGCCAGCTCTGATCTGCTCTCTGCAGCCCAGGCCATGCCCATGCAGCAAGTTAGAATGATATTTTGACTATAATCTGACTTAACCACCTTGTTTGGACCTTTCCTCTGAATGGCAACCTGTTGGTCCTAGGAATCAGCATCATCACCAGGCTAATCCTAATTCCCCTCCCCCAGCCTGCTCCCCTTTCTATCTCATGACTTTTGTACCAGTTGTTCCCTAGGACACAGACACCATCCCTCTTCCTTCCTCCCTGGTTCACCTCTCCTGGCTGTGTGGAGTCAGGTGAGTCATTCCTAGCTCAGAAAAGCCTTCCTTAATCTTCTTCACAACGATTTACTTTGTGTGTAATTTTATTTCATGGTACTTTTTCTTTTTTGTTTTATGAGGTAGGTTCTCACTCTAGTCTCGAATCCACAGCAACCCTCCAACCTCAGGCCCCAAGTGCTGGGATTACATAACCACACCTGGTTTTTACTGTACTATACTTTTCAAGGGTGTAATTATATGTTCTTCCTTGGCTCTTTTGATTAATTTCAGTATCGTAGTAGACTGTGAGCTCCTTGAGAGAAGGATTTCATTTTCTTCCCCCATTCCTCTGGTCTCTCTCCCCAGTATTGATATGGAGCTTGGTACATGGCATGTGCTCAATAAAAAATTGTTTAGCAAATGAATAAAGTGTCTGTCTTGTATTTAGAAGCTTGGGGAAGAGGAGAGGAGGGAGTTAGTGAAAATAAATACAAATCATCCAGTTTGGCTAAACAGAAAGACTAGCTCATACAAAATAACCGTGGGTGCAGAGACACACACCCTACTGGCTGCACTGTGCTGTGGGTTGTGAAATCATGCACTGAAGGATACAAAGAAATTAGAGGCAGAAAGAGCACTTCAGGCTTACAATCATTCAGTATTTACATAGTTCATGCCCAGTGTTGGCAAGCACACAAAGATGCTTAAAAGTGCAGCAGCAGGGGAAGGCTGAAACCCAGTACACTGCTTATGTGCCTAGAAGCCACTGAGCAAGCACCGGGGCAAGCCTCTGGAGGAAAAGGGCAGCAAAGCATAGAGAACCCACCCACCTGGATGCCCATTCCCAGGTTTCAGTGTGAGGACCTGAGGGCTGGTTCCCATGTTGAGAGGAGAGTGTTCCCCATCACCAGGAGTAAGGCTTATGTTAGAAGTTGATTGCCTGTTTCCTTTTCCTCCTTAAGTTGGGAAGACCTGGGATCACATCTTGGACTTCCAGGGAAGAGCTGCTGCTGCCTGTCCAGCTGACCCTTTAGAAAGCTAGCCTGCTGAGAAGGATGGGGCACCAAGCAGCTGCTCCCTGAGGATGGTGAGGACCAGGACAATGTAGAGCCAGTTAGGAGGTGGCAAGAGCTGAGAAGCCCCAGGAAAGCCTGAAAGCCATGTTCTGCCCAGAGGTGGTTTCTCTCATTGAACACTGGCATGTGGGTGGGTTACAGGTATCTGAGAATATCCCACTATGGAAGCAGAAGTGTTCCTGTGTGGCTGTCATTCTGTGGAGTTTCAGTAGTTTTCATTATGTTTTCTAAGGGGGTCTTTGAATCATAAAGAGCTTCAGTAAGGCTTGCCTTTCACATACTTGGAGGGAGCCAGTTCCAGATAGCACAATTCACTTAGTCATTTCTCAGATAAGCTGGGCATCAATCAGTGGAGAGGATAGCCTGGGAGAGTGACCCAGAGTGACTCTGCTATGAAGGAAGCTTCCTTCACCTGTTCGTTTAACACGTTTACTGAACATCTGCTTAGCCAGGCATTGTTTCAATCCTGGGATACACAAAGAAAAGCAATTTTTGCCACGTAGATTGAGATTTCCTTTTGGTGAGGGGAAGCTATGAACCAAAAAAAAATTTAGCAAGTTAGAAATGATTACATGCTAGAGAAAAAGATGAAGAATAGGGATAGGGAGGGCTGGGGTAGGCAAAGAGAGTAACAAAATGTTAAAGAGAATGACTGGGAGAAAGCTGAAAATAAAACAAAACAAACATTAGACAACAACCAAGCCATGGAGAGGAGCCCAGGCAAAGAGAATAGAAAATTCAAGGGCTCTGAGGCTGGGGCATGCCTGTGGTGTTTGAGGAGGCTTGAAGTGCTAGAGTGGAATGGGATGGAAGAAGGTTCTTAGAAAACAAGGACTGGTAAGTCAAGAGGAGTACAGTGTGTACCACAACTCAGCATAAGGCTTTTGGCTTTTACTTTTAGCATAAAGACTAAGAAAAGGTCTTGACAGGACAGGGTTGTCTGTATCCCTCTGGCTGAATGGACAGAGGGTCAGAAGGCAGGTGTGAAGCATGGCGGTGAGGCAGAGCAGGAAGCATTCTTTCTTGGCCAGATGGTGGGAGCAAGGGTAGTGAGGAGTGGTTGGGCTATCCATGTAAAATGCAGCATTCCCTGAGGGCTGGGAAGGGGCAGCACTGTGTCTCAGCAATGTCACAGTTTGGGGGGTCATATCTGTGATCCAGGCATGCTTTTCAAGTGGCACTGAAAGGCCCTGGCCCTGCCCTTCTCCAGTAGTCTCTTGGGGCAGGTCATTTATTCCTCTAGGACTGACGTTCCCTACTTAATATATAGGAAAAAAACAATGTGTGATGTCCTTGTGGGCCTTAGTGGGGCACTTCCATCTTAAAATAACCTTGTAATTCTGGAATTTATTGTCTTATTCCAGTGAGCAGATGTCACATCAGAGCCAAAACTGCTCCCTCAGCAAACTCATGTTGCTGTCCTCTGGCTTTCCGTCCCCTGAACTTTCCATATGCCCCACCCCCAGAATTCAGCTTGATCTGCTTCTCAGGGTGGTGTCTGAGGCCAGGTGAGAGGAACCCTTTGAGTACAGGGACATAGGCAGCAAGTCACCAGGGCTCAGCCAGGGAGGGTAGAAAGCACAGGTCTCTATGAAAGCACAGAGATGACCCCGAGACAGAGCAGTTGCAAAGTTAGGTAACATCCACAACCCCTGTCAATGCCCAAAGCCCTGCGCTAGGGAAAGCAGGAAATGTTAGCAGGCTCTTGATCTTGCAGCCCAGGGCATAAGGAAGGTCATGATAAAGACATTCCAGGCTGAAACAACACAGGATCAAGCTCTCACATGTTACAAACCCCTCATTTTGGCCCAGTTACCACAAGAAAAGCTTGTGTGTAGGACTTGGGAACTGGCTAAAGAAACCATGGAGCTTTCAGTGGTTATGATGTTAAGGATAGCTACCGCAGGCACAATCCAGTTTCACTGTCCTATTCTGGTCGATTCTTTTTCTCCAAGTCCCTTCTAGTGCACCACAGGACCCAGAGCCTCAGAACTCCTGACCTCAGTTGAGCCAGGTGGAGTTTCTTTCTCAGAATCAGCGATGGGGCTGCAGCAGCTGAACCGGCACTGGTGGGAGAGGCACACAGAAGGAGGCTAGAGAAGGAATGTTTGTGGGATGGATGTTAGGCATCGGGGGCTGCAGGCTAGATGAAAGCAGGCAGGTGTGCAAAGAAAAGCAAGCGAGAGGGCATGGCCCTGGGGAAGCTGACAGAATTCCATTTCTCAGCTCCTGTCTGTGAAGCCCGAGGCAGTTCCTGTTCTCACTACATCTACCCAGCAACCCTTGCTATTGCTTAACCTCATTGGACACGATTTCTACTCAGCACACAAATAATCCCTGAAATGAATCAATTAAGATTCTATGTAGGGACTAGAGAGGTGGCTCGGTGGTTAGAAGGGCATGCTGCTTTTGCAGGGGCCCTGAGTTCAGTTCCTGGCATGCATGTTGGGTGGTTCACAACTAACTGAACTCCAGCTCCAGAGGATCTGATGCCCTGTTATGGCCTCCACAGACACCACACATGTACATACATAGACACACATGCATACACATAAATAATACAAAATAAATCTTCAAAAAGATTCTTTAACAACCTAAAGTAACTGTTGCTATAAATCATATAAAATTTCATATATTATACATTTATCTTTCAAAAAATGTATGTGCATAAAACCCTGGTTGGAAGAAAACATAAAAATAATTCTGATGGTTAAAGAAGTAGATTTTTTTCAATTTTGCATAAAATTATATCATTATTCTTATAATTTTTGAAAGAAACTATTGGGAAATCAAATCAATATCTAGCCATAAAAGCTTCCATAAATGATTTCTAAAATAAGAGGAAGCAACATCAATAACTAATTATATATTCATATTTTTCCTGGAGTTGACACAAATAATTTGCTTTCCTAAAAAGTTGGAGAATGGTGTGTTATGAACTGAACTGTGGGAGTTATTGCATATTTTTATAAAATGAAAAGAACATGCTAGATTCATGTGTTTGTTAGTTTCATAGTCTTTTGTTTGTTTTTGTATCAGTTTTTGTTGTTTGATTTTTTTGTAGTCATGACCTCGTCCAAGTATGGAAATACCACTAAGATTCCCAGAGACTTCAGTGCAGAATTGATCACGTCCCTGCAAGATCACCCTCTTTAGAGGGAAGCTGTCCTCCTGTACCGACCAGCTTTGGTCGCATATCCAGTTCTCTTCTCCGAACACTGTACAGAGGGATGGTATCTGGGGCTGTTTCCTCTTCCTCCTCTCTGAAATGTTACAGATACCTGCCCAGGAACTATGGGAGTTCTTCTTACCTCCAGAAGGTGTGCCAGCGACTCGCTTGAGGAACTTAACCCACTCCTCCATCTCTGTCTGGGAGCTGGCCATGAGGACATAAGAATCCTGTCCTCCTATTCGGTTCTGGTCCCATGAGGCTGGAAAAGTAGCACATGAGAAGATTGAGGAGTAGGAGGGGCCAGAGCCAGGGGAGGGGAGGAAAGCTGAACATCACTGGTTCCTTAGTTCAATGAAGCACTGTCAGTCAAGCAACACAGAATTATCTAAGCTGCCCCAGTGGACCTAGATCTCCCCGTTCTCCCATGGCTTTTGCCAAAGGTCTGTTTCTACAGACAAGTCACTTAACACATGGCTTACAGTGTAGTGGCTTTGCCTGGGCGCAGCTTTCATACAGGGTGGAAGACATTTCCTACCAACAGGAAGAACAAGTGCAGTGGGTAGGCTCAGCATTGGAGGATATGAGTCAGCCGCCAGGACTAGTCTGTCAGGTCATCCTGCCCACCATGGATGTTCTCCCAAGAAAGCCTGAGCTCATCTGTGGAGACCTGGAAGGGACAGCAACCCCAGGTAGGAGGGACAATGGGCCTAAAGTGCCTTTCTCATACACGGGTGCTTCCTGTCATCATGTGCTTTGATCACACTGCAAATGAAGGGTTTCCACAACTTGGTTACAGGCTACAGGAAGCTCATCAGGACCTTGTTTACCATTATCACTTTAAGCCATAGGTATCAAATGTGCAAAAGAATGTCTGAAAAGACAAAGGAGGCAGATGTGGCACAAGAGGTGACCAAAGAAAGAATGAGGGGCAGGGACAAAAGAAGAAAAGCCAGAGGGAAAGGCACAAGAGGGGAAGGAGAGGGAACACACACTTTAGACCCTGTGGTTAGTCAGGGTAGGCAGGACTGGAACTTTATTATCGTCCCTGCACCTCCTTGCAGGTAGAAATCTACAAATTTGGAATTTTCTTTAGTGAATTAAAAACAAAATGGTTAGAAGGGACATAAGAATAGCAGTGATCCTTTCCATTATAGGATGCTGTCACAACCTGGTCTTCCCATAATGCCAGGTCATCTCGGAGAGAGACCATTTCAGCTCTCCTGGGAGGCCCAGCCCTGTATTTTCTTGTAAGACGGCCAAAGGCTTTCCAGTCCCTTTGGTTCTGGTCTCTTGGACTTAGCTTAATGTCACTGAACCAAGTCTTCTTCTACCTGATGGGACGAGCTGATCCTAAACCCTCTTGTTATTGGTTCTCCTCCATGAAAGCCCTAGGCCCCCAGGAAAGCTGAGAGATGAGTGTCTCCAGGAGTAAAGCTGGAAGCAAAAAGTCTTCAGGGCAGAACAAAAATCTACCCGAGGAACCACAATGTCCCTTGAAATGGAATGAGGCACTGTATTGTTTCCATTTTACAGTGATGGCAATTAGGACTAAAGCCCAAAGGTGTTAGTACCTGCCTTCTGTAGCTCCACAAATCGCCAGGCAAGGCTGCTGATCTCTGCCTCCCAGCAGAGGTTCCACTGGGAGGACTCTGTCTTGTGTCTTTTTCTGCTATGTGCACACTCCAGTCTACTGCGTCACCCGAACACACCTTCTTGGTTCCAGATCTTTTAGTCTGCCATGAGCAACCCCACGTGGAAACACTTCCTTTGCTGTCACTGTCTCTGACTTGTGTCATTCACTGTAAGAGCCTGTTCACGGGTCCGTCCGCTCTGCCCCATGACTTATGTTTTCACTCTCAGTTCACAGGAATTTTAACCATGAATCTTACCACTTCACTATACTTAGAGCTCCCCAATGGCCTTTCATCGTTCTAGCATAAAAGCTGTATTTCTTATAATTGCCAACAAGTGAATGTTGCACTCCCAAACCCCACCCCTGTTATCACACTGCCCTAACCTCACTGATCTGTTTGGAATTCCCTGACCCATGAAGGGGCTTGGGGATGTGGTACCGCCTGTCCCTTCCTCCAGAGGGAAACCTGGCTCACTGCCAGGTTCTTCATAAATGTACCCCAATTCCACACCCTCAATGACACATTCCCTGCTCGGTTATCAATGACCACCACCACCTTGTCAGACAGAACGTGTTCTCTCTTTGCTCCAACTTTTGTCCCTTCAGGGAAACTATACAATCTGCCTGTGTATTCGGTGTGTCACTGGACTGCAATTTCTGTAGGGCTGTTTCTGTTCTTTGTTGATCACCAGCCCTGTGGCAACCTCTGGTTCTTAGCTCAATGCATTGGTTGTTAAATGAATGACAACATCTCACAAAGTGGTATGAGGGTCAGTGAGGTGAGGCACGCAGAAGGAGCAGCCCACGCTTGTTCAGACTAGAGGTCAGGAGGGAGAGGGACGCTTCCCCTCAATAGTTGCCTGCTATAGGTTAAAAACAATAGCATGCCCACAGCTAAGGGCTTCTAAATTTCGTACAAATAAAGCTGGTGACAACAGGGAGGGACGTCATTAGGAAGCCCATGTCTTATGGCAGCATAGCCCTGGGAATCTTCTTCCATGAGAGGAAGACAAAAAGAAAAGCTGAAAATTCTTCCCATCTCAGTTCAGGCTTGGGGGAGCCTTGGAAACAGCAGTGTTGCAGGAAAATGGGTCCTTAACCTAGGATCACTGTATGATTGCTTGTCCTTATGAAGGGGGTGGGTGGAGGGAGATACAGTGACAGGAATACACAGACAGATCATGACAGAGACAGAGAAATTGGAAGACAAATAGTGAGAGATAGAGATGAGAGATGTGAGATATATATGGAGAGAGAGAGAGAGAGAGAGAGAGAGAGAGAGAGAGAGAGAGAGAGATTGAGCGATTGAGATAGATTCCAGGATCTCTCCCAAGAGCAGTCTTCTAGGGTGGTGATTTATGGGCAAACACCCAGTGCATTTTCAGCTGCAGTGCTCCATGGAATTTTCTGGGTAGAAAACACAGCCATTGGGCCACATGCTGGGTGGCTGTATTCCAGGAGTTGCATTGGGAGAGGAATCCTAGAGACAGAACAACCCCGAAAAAGAGAAGGGTTTTCCTAAAGGGAGAAGAGCAACTAAGACAGCAGGAAGGTGACTAGATCTTCAGGTGCAAATACAAGAGAGCCCAGAGAACAACCTGGACTTCATTTATTCTTTTCTTTTGTGTAAATTGCCAGTCAGCATGAAGATTTTCCTCTGCATCATAATTCTGGCTAGTTATCCCCAAACATCAAACACATATGGCACTTACTACATATTAGGCAATGTACAAGTATTTTATTTAGACATCTTCAGACGAGTCTCACTGTCATTGACAGTGAGATAAAGAAGAGGTACAGACAAAGAAGAGTCAAGGGACCAGCTATACAAACAGTGAGAGGCACTGTCAGGACCTGGGTATGGGTGGGCTACTCTCGACAGGGCACTTTACAGTTTGCCATGCCATCATCTCCACACACATCCTGATGCACATGGCTGCCTGTGAGAGCAGAAAGGAGGGGACGAAGAGAAAGGGGATTATGATCTCCAGTGCTGCCATCAGCAGGGTCAGGGCAGCAAGATGGCATAGGCGTCCTGGCATTCCTGCTAGGGCTGGGGCTAGCCTCAGAGCAAGAGCCAGAGAGAAAGGTAAGCAGCCCCAGGGTGGCAGATCCAGGAGGATGTGCCACATCCCCTTTGCTCCTAATGTGTTTTTGATGGGGAAGGGGCACCAGCCAACATACAATCCATGTGCATACAAGTGACATGCAACACTTGGCAGGTTTTAAGTTTTCACAGGTCAAAACTGTCATTTCTTGTTTGGTCCTGTTGAAATGTATAAGCCCACTCATGGCAACCTATTCAATGGAAGAGTTCCATGGTTCAATTATGTTTCCACTGTTAACATTCTGGGATTTTTTTTAACATTCTGAGATTTGAATGAGTACAGATGATGACCTTCACAGTGATGACCAGAGCCTCAGGCTACACCTGGCTCCAAGTGCATGCTCCTGGAATGCACCAAACGAGCATTCACCTATTTCGGCATCCCTTAAGCCCCTGATACTAGTTAATCAACCATGGCAGGTTCACTAACTATACAGAGAGTGTCTACGAGTTTGTAGCATGATTGAAGGATGGAATATCATTTTGACTTCCAGAAATGCAGACCACCTACCTGGAATAACTTCAAACACGAACTTCCCAGCCTCTTCGGGGTTTGTGGCTATCTCCTTGATTGTACTTCCTGGCAGATACATGCAGCCCTGAAAGATCCAAAATCAAGCTTTTTAGATAATCAGCAATTTTATCACCTATAAACCTAAGCTGGGGAATCGATGGGATGACAACAGTGGGGTGAGGAGGAGGGTAAGCTGTGGAGCATGGAAACTTGCATTCCAGTTTGAAGGGGTTCCTTTGTGACTCTGGCCTTGGCCAAAGTGAATGGCAGTTGCTGGGTGCCTAGAGAAAAGAGGACCTTTACGACAGGAGAATGCATGAAGGGCTTATCATCACCAGCACTCCACCTTTCCAAGACCCAACTCATGGCCAAACCAGACAGCTGATCTCTGTGAAGGCAGAACTGAGACTGGGGCCCATGCTGCATACCTGACTACCAGATGGGGCAGTGAGCTCTGAACCACAGATTAACATCTGGGGACAAGGTGAGCTGCTACTGAGCAGCACTGACAGTTGCCTGCCTGTTGTTCACTACAATGGACTCAGTGTTCACTTAGTTCCTCCAGCAGTCCTCTAAGCAAGGTGGCAATACATATACTTTGAAACTAAGGAAACTTACTTAATGAGAAAGGCCCTGTAATTTGCCTGCACTGAGCTAGTCAATGGCAAAATGGCGATTTATCCCAGAAGCTGGTTCAAAGCCAGTTTCTCTTACCATTGCAGCTGAGGTTATGGGGAACAATCAGTTTAGCCCCTAACTGACCCCTGGATTCATGGAGAGGAAGGGGGCACTCAGTGGGATACGTGACCTCTTATACACAGATGTGGTATTGGAGAATCAAGTCACTTCTACAAGGTGTGCACACGATGCTTCTGTGTCTGCCTGGGGCTTTCCCACATAACATCTCACTAGACCTCCACAGCACCAGAGTAGGGCCCTTCCATGTGGCATCTCACTAGACCTCTACAGCACCAGAGTGGCAAGGACAGCCTCTTCTGGATGAGACACTGGGAATTCAGTGACTGTACAAAGTGGCGTAATTAACTTTTATAAGTTTAGTTACTTGTACTTTACATAAATCCCACTGATGTTGAAGGTAGGACATCTGATTCGAAGTTGAAGAAATGCAAACTTCCTATTTCAAACAAAGTCGATATGAAAATTAGCAAGAGTGAAAGCTGTAAGGGAAAAGAGACAAGAAATTCTCAAAATAACATCAGAAGCCTGAAAGAATGAAGGTTTTTGAGGGTATGGAAATAAAGATGTCTGAGTGAGAAAAAGAAAGAAGAAGATGGAAGAGGAGTGAGAAGAAGGAAGGGGAGGAGGGGGCAAAAGACGAGAAGGAAGATGGGGAGGAGCAAGAAAGAAAAAGGGGAAGAAAAGCTTCCTGTCTATGAAACAGAACTGCGCAATTCCCCTGCAGTCCTCCAGCGTCAGCCTGGTTCCTGGTCGTCTTTAGAAGATCACATCAGCACCTCGGAACCACCATCCTGACATCATGCTGCTGCTGTGCTACTCTGGATTAGTCCCACTCCATGTTACTCTTACACAGGAAGGAACACTACCAGGAGGGGAAGGACAGTCAGGTTCAGAGGCACCTTTCTAAACTGTCATTTGATACACCAACATCACAAAATTACAGAAATAAAATCCTATTATGCGTATATATATATA